AATATATTTCATGCTAGCGTCTCTTGTGGAAAATTCGGCACAAAATAAATACTAGTTTGATTATAAAGTTCACTAGTACTCTTAAGAGAAATGACTACCTGTGGTGAGCATATGTCATTGATATGACTGTACTTAAAAATTTGGATCACATGTTAAGCTGTCAGCCGAAATCAGATTACTGTGTGAGAATCTTCTCAATGACGACTAGCTCAACTATTTTAAGGTTTTTTTTAATTTCTCTCTGTCACAATTTGAGAGGACACAAATGAACAGCACTTCCACTCATTTCAAGGTCTTTCCTTTTTGATTGTATGGATTACTGCTAAGGGAAGGTCTGCGGTCCAATGTGACTGCGAAGATAAACTATTATTGATAATAATTGAGTCGGGACAATGCTATATTAAACTAAGGTGATAGAAATCGTAAGAGGACTGAGCTGCAAACAAGGTTGTTTTTAAGAATTTGAAACATTCCATTATTCTGTGCATACGTTTACTGGTAGAGTAGATGGAAATGAGGGCACTTTCCGTCTCAGACTAGTATTAGCCACATGACTGGACTAATGCTGGCTGTAAGCTGTGTTTTACAATTAGTCCTTAATTCGTTTTATCTTCCATTTTTTAATGATATATATATATATATATATATAAACTGACGAGGATATCAAAGCCAGAATCGGAAAAGCAAGACAAGCTTTCATTACTCTTAACTCTGTGTGGAGGTCAACAGCACTCAGAATCAAAAATAAGACCCGGATTTTCAACTCCAATGTGAAGTCAGTGCCACTTACTATACGGATCAGAGACTTGCACTGCGCGTCATAAAGAGCATCTCAAACAAACTTCAGACCTTTATTAACAGTTGTCTTCACTCAATACTCAAGATCAGATGGCCGGTCAGAAAAGATCAGCAACAGGGATCTCTGGCAATAAGCGAACCAACACAGCAGGAACCAATTGTGAAACAAATAGGCAGGAAGAAATGGAGATGGATTGGTCATATGCTGAGGAAACCATCAAGTGACATCACTAGACAAGGCATTGCTCGAGTGTAACCCGAAAGTGAAGCGGCGAGTTGGTCGTCAGTGCAAGGGTGACTTGGAGGAGGTCATGTGAAGAGGAGATGAAAGCATGTGGGCAGACTTGGAGCGGGGTGAAAAGTTGGCAGAAGACCGAAGGTAATGGAGGTGCGCAGCTGAAGCCCTATGTTCATCTAGGAATTAAAGGATATAATAATAATTATAATTATAATGGTGCTTACAATATTTTCTTGATCGAAGTGTCACTTTTCTAATATCACTTAGCTATCCAACAATCGCTACAAATATTTGATTTACTTATATCACATTTTGATTCTTATTTATTTTGTTTATTTCAACCTGACCTTTAATAACATTATCACTTGTAACTTTTCGACTTGCTCGCACTTTTCGTTGGTTTTACTTGTCATACCTTTTGTGAATGTCCTTTGGCTGCGATCGCCTCCGTTAGCATATCGGGTTAATTCAAGTTTGATCACGGATTGAAAGCAGTTAGAAAAACCACTGAAAGTGAACAGAGAGTATCGCTTCGTCCTAGTTTTGGACCTACGACTGGCTACCGGACTAAGTTGCTTGGTTTTCTAGGGAGAAGTCATAATCAATAAAATCCACCTGGTCAGTTGTGTGAACAAATAGTTGACGATGACGTTGGCTGGTGGTCACGCCGAAATCATAAACTGGTGGAAGTTGGAATTTACGGGCCCTTGAATTTGCGCTCATTGGCTGATTGGTTCATGAGTTTGCCTTGTAGTCGGCAGGTCCTAAGAGGAAACTTCGGTGTGTTTGCACTGACGAAGAGTCCCAAACTAGGACGAAATAGCTGCACAGTACTCCCTGTTGGTTTCCAACGGTTCTCTCTCTAATATCAACGATTGACGAAACTTGAAAGAATCAAATCCCAATAAAATGACTTTTGGAAATATGAGGCTGTGTTAAGTGAATTCACGGGTATCGACATTTAAATTAGGTCTTCAAGCAATTGCATACTGTTACTTACTAAAAATGTTGTCAAAATCAGTATGCGATATTTAACAGGTCCTCGATCGTTCATTAGCTGTCCACCTATTTTTTTTTGCCCAAATTAATCCCGAAACATACAAACTATTTAAGATAACCAACCTGTCTCTCTTGCTTTGTCTTGCTGGTATTTCCTGCTATTAGTCCAATAAGTACAATTGGGTTGGAGAGTATTATACGACTGCTGTAATCATTACCGCATTAGTGAAATATATTCGTTGGGTAGACCCAAGAAAAACTTTCTCACGAAAGATATTTGTTCTCTTGTATACTTGTTTGCTTTTCAGACTCCATCATTTTTTATTTAATGCCACAGATGAATTAGTGACTTCTATCGATATACAATTACGAATGCGATTGAGAATCATCGCGTGTGCACTGATGCGAAGCCAACAGGCGCAGAATCTGATGAAAAAGTTTTCTTACTGTGTTAACCAACTTCCTTTCCGTATGCTTCACCTGTCTGCAGAATAAGGGTGAGCCAGGCCAAAGAGTTAACCATTGGTTCGGTTAAAGCTCAGGTCTAGCAGGACAGATGGTCAAAGAACCATGATCGTCATCTGCAGGAATGCGAGATTAGGACATTCAAACCATGTATTTAACTGGACACTTAGAAGAATTCTTCCAACCACAATTGTGATTTTCAGTGAGTTGCAGTCTTTAGCCTCCATACAGCCGCAACACTCTAAAGAAGGCGCATTTATCTGGAAACAGATTTTTGAATGTCCGTTTAGATTTATAGGCATCCTGAAATCACAATTTGCTTAACCCTGACCCACAGCGAGTCACTTAATGTGAATATCACATAATTTTTTATTGACTTAACTACTGTTATTATACGAAAGTAAAGTTACAGCGACCACACGGGTTTTCAGGATGGTCCGGAATAAATACCCGAAACTCAATCGTTCAAAAAACAATATACGATGGAAAGCATTTGGAGTTCAATGACTAGTTCCGAATCAACTGCCACTCACCGAATATAAACTGCATAATAGGCTAAGCCTCGATTTGGTACTACCACATGTCGATCATAAACATAAGGGACAAACAGTGGTCACAGACGTTTTAATACCGAAACTGTCCCAAACAGCTACCCACTGAGAAATAAATACGATCCCACGATGAGCTTATCCACAGCATTAAGGTAACTACAAGCAGATCTCCATGAGAATGCGAAGTGTATGGCTCTTGAAGATGCCACTAAACTCACCTCCGTTACGGTTATGTGAGCAGTCATGAACGCTTCAATGCTTGTGCTTAAAGACCAGTAGTTAAGGATGGTACTTTCGATGGAAAAATCCTGGCTATATTGATCTATATTTCCTCTCCATACTCCGTAGTGGGCCTTTTATTTGCTGATTACACAAATAATATGCCGCATAGGTCTTTCTATGAGATTTACTCAGTTCAGGTCACAGATCGTTCACGTATGTGAATCTGGTAACACAATTCCTTACTCCACCCACGAGATCGACCATACTGAGTTAGTCCATCTTCAAAAGCTATGTTCCCAGCTGAAATGGGCGATGACACTAACGACTTGAAACTATATTAGGCTTTATTAAGTAATAGCGCATATCGGCAGTCTATCTACTACCTTCCTTGGGAATTAACAATGTATCATTTCTACCAACTAACTGTCGAAGCTACTATCGAGCAGGCTTTAAATCGATTTCATTGATATGAATAGATCAGTTGTACACTGGAACTGTTGGTGGATAGAATGTATAAAGTGAGACATCGGTAACTACTGAATCTCCAGCTTAGTGCCCTAATCTTGAAACTGTCCACACAGATCTAAACGGAGGCCACCAGAATCGAAAGATCACGTTCATACATTCGCCTTCATGAATCGTTTCTGCTAGGAACGTTGCATGTGTAGCCTGTGAGTAGTAGGTTGCCAATTATGTCGGGTCATCTATCACAAAAATAGATAGTGGGCGACTCTTTGAAAGTGATTTTAGCCTAAAAAACTTAGGTCCATTCGAATTCGCATGTATCTCCCCCGCTGATAGTCAAAGGCTGAACTATAGGCGGCGATACTTGTCTCACTTTGATATTGGGAAGGCTTTAAAGTGTGATTCCGGATGAGCCACGCTATAATAAGTGCACTGTACGATATTTTAACTACGAGGAGACTACCTTTAAACTTGTAGTATTTCAGTTACAGTTGACTGCATCGCGTGTGTTATACCTACAAGCAGGAAGCATCTACTTTTTATTAGCCGTGCTCCAAAAACACCGTCGTCTAACAGAGGGCCAACCAAATGCCCACTCATGTCACACAGGGGTAGAAAAAAAGCCATTCAGACACCTAGAGCATCAGCCGGCACAGTGAGATGAAGAAGTTGTGGTTGAACTATTTTTATACATACATTTTTGGGTATTGATGATTTCTATTATCCAAGGAGGGGACATTTTACTGATTTAACACGTAAACTAATCCCTTGTATAGAATAATGAGAACAGTCACCATCCAGAAAAAAACCGTTGCGGTTGAGACATAACTGTCTCTTAAATGAGTGTAAAAATTAACGGTAAAGTAAGAGTAGGAGTACTTTGCAAGCACTTCAGCTATTTCGAGAAGTAAGTCTCACCACTAAATGAATTCAAATTTATTCATGAATTCAGATGCTACGATCCCAAATGACGTGAAGTCAATTCTGTGGGTGTTGATAAAAATCGTATTAACAATAGTAATATTTCTAGTAGGAATTCCAGTATCGAATACCGTTTTTACGAGCTGGTATAAAGCAATTTGATTTCTTTGTGCTCGCTCCTTGAATGTGAAATTAAGGTTGTTGATCTTCGGTAAATTTCTGTGCAGCTCGTCCCGCCACTCGCTGTCGTATCTCCAAGACTACAAGATGAGTAGTGCTGGGATTAATTATATGTTTGTAGTATGCAGTGTGTCAAGACTGTTACTACTGCGAATGGAGTTGATCCTTTCACCAGTTGGTCCTCCGGTATCATTGTAAAAAGAAGAGATAATAATAATAGATATAACTAGGGTAGGTTATTCAGACTAAAGGATAGAAAAAGAAATAAAGAAAGCTAATTAAATTTGAAGTTGATATATATATACATATATATATATATATATATGTATATATATATATATATTGTGCGTCGGTGGCACAGTGGTTAGGACTCCCGCCGACCATGCACATGGTCCGGGGTTCGAACCCACGCCGATGCACACCTGATATCTATGGTCGGCCTGCGAATTCTGGGCTACCGATATCCACGCTGAAAATTCCATACATGTACCAAAAATACGGTGTGGAATCAAGCTGTAATCAAAAATAAAAAATATATATTATCAGTAATGATATGTGGTAATTGACAATTTCCATCTCCGTATTGTTTAAATACTTACTGTCGCTTGTTAATATATTTCTTATATGAATTGAATAAGAATTCCTCAAAATACAAATTCCTTAATTCATCCCTCTCTGTGTTATGGTTAAATTCTTGTAATTCGGTCATTGCGAAATACTAATACTAGTATTACAAATAGTTACAACATGATAATAACAATAAATGTAGTAGTTAGAGTTGTCAAGAGAGTAAGATGGGAGAGAATGTAAAGAAGTAAAACGACGAATTTAATTGTCTACCTCTGAATGGTGTATGGGATTTTAAGGGGATAGGCCATTTGGACGCAGTCCTTGTGTCACTGCATGATTGTCCAGCCTTCGCTTAAAGGCGTCCACAGACGTCGCCATAGCTACCTCTGCCGGTAAGGAATTCCAGGGATGGCAAACTGGCAGGTAAAAGAAGTAGAAATGCACCTGGATCCTCGCCCTCTGGTGAGGTATCATTCTGGGATTTCCAGTGGGAAGCCTATACCTACTCAATGGCAGAACACCTTTGATTGGGTAATTCTAGTCATTTGTTATCTTGTAGGCAGTAATCAAATCAGCTCTAAGGGTAAATGGGCCTAATTTCTTTAGCCTTTCATCATATGATTATTTCGGAGACCAACCACTCTTTTTTTCGCCCGCCTCTGGACTCTTTCAAAGAGGTCGGCGTCTCTTCTAAGCAGTGGGGGTGCAATGATATTATGCCCTTCAAGGAGAGGTCTGACGTATGTTTTGTACGGACTTAGAACGAGCTTGGGAGTGAGTGCACCTAACTGTCTACGTGTAGAGTTTGTGAGCGCACATGCCCTCGCTTCATCCCTCGTGTAGTTTACGCTTGTATCAAAACCAACCAAACCTAAGTCACTCTCCGAAGTTGTGCAGAACAAGCTTTCATTCCACAGGGAGTGACTTGCATTCTGCAGTCCACAGGTACGTGATTTGACTACCTTACACTTTTTCAGGTTAAAATTCATGCCGCTGGCCACCATCTAGTCTTCCAGAAGCTTTAGATTTGCCTGAAGTCTATCTGAGTCCTCCGGACACTTTATCTCCCTCCATATCTTTACGTCGTCAGCATATAGAACAGTCGGGCAGCTTAGACGGCATGGTAGACCATTGATAAAAATAAAAAAACATCAGTGGTCCCAGGACAGAACAGAACATTGCGACACTCCTGATGACGAGCTGTGCCAAGATGATCGGACTTGATTGGTCTTAGTACGAAATTGCCTGTCAGCTAGGTAGTCCTTCAACCATGACAGAAGTGGCTTACCTATGCCTTCCTGACCTATTTTGTGTAGGAGAAGGCCATGACGAACTATGTCAAATACCTTCTCAAAGGCAAGGAAGACCACATGGACTGGAACATTCATATCCCAGAATGATGTCCAATAGTCTCAGGCTGATAGTAGGTTAGTAACACAGGATCTGTCTTTCCTGAAACCGTGTTGGGCTTCATGGAGGTATTCTCTAGTGTGATCGTCAACAATACTTTCCAGTACTTTTGACACCACTGGGAGTAGAGCTACTGGTCTGTGACTAGTGGAATTCGTCTTCCTCTCTGGATCATCGCAAGATACTTGAGTGGCACTGACTGTCATCCCAGCACCGCATCGCCGTAGTGTCACTGAGCCTTAGGGGCTTATTAAGGTCTCAGGTTGCTGCCCCCTCACAGTTCGAGGTCTGCTTTCACGGTATCGAATGTGTCCTCCTATTTCACTCTTGATCTCGTACTAGGCCCAAGTGTTCCTGGGAGTTGAATTTGACGGTAAGCAGCCTCGGAGAACTAATCAGTGTGAGATGAGCGAGGTGAGACTGCTCCAGAACCACGAGGGACGATTTTAGGTGACAGCTATCTTTGTTATTGTGCGTCCCGAATGTTCTTCACAAACAGTACCAGTTTCCAGCCCCGGAACACTGTTTACGATCACAGAGGTCGGAAGCGTCACCTGTGGTGACTCCTTCGCCATTTGCCTGTTAGTCCATGGTCTATCATGTCTCATCCTTATGCCAGAACTCTTGCCGATGACTGGTACCTGAGGCAGTAATAGTGTCCTTTCAGCCTCTTCGGGAGAGTCCAGCGTAACCGTTAATGGGGTGGCTTACCCTTAGGTGTGTTGACACCTCTGTACAGCCTGGACCATTTCGATGAACTAATCTTCAGACGTAATTTACCTCACAAATTGGACCACTGTTTTTGATCAAGCAGGGCCTGTTGTTCAAGCAAGCTATCAATACACAGAAGTACATTAAAAAGGATAAAAGAATTTGACCGACTGACCTCAGACTTAGGTTTGGCTTTCGTATGCTTATATTCCTTTGCAGGGTCAGTAACTTTAGGCTTCATCAGGTTCCGATCCGACCTTGCTGTGTTGCCAAGCTTCCTAGTGGATGGAAGTGGTCTTTTGCAATTCTATCTTCCCCTGATGTTATGGGTGCAACCTTGGGACTCTTCACCTTGTGAAGATTGGCATTTCCAGTCAGTTGGACTGGAGTGTCCTTCCTACTGTTTGTACCAAGTTTTGGTGGTGTGGTGTTAGCAGGTGGGGAGCTGCATGAGACTGTGTTGAGACATAAGAGTGGCGTGCTGTTTCTACTATCCGCAGACACTCTGTATGGGGCTGCGCTAGGGTGACAAATTGGGCACATATACCAGAATTGTGTGCATGGATTGTTTCGCATGAACTCATAGTATGATTTTGGCATCCCTTTGTCACAACGGCATTGTGACCATCGTTCGCGAAAATCGCATTCAAATGCTGAATCAGTTTTAGGAAGGACAACGTTACAGGCCTGATATTCGTCCACCTTTGTAGATGGCACTTTCGAGATTTTATGACGTCTTGGGCGTTTCCCGTTTTGTTTCTCCGTGTGTCACGCACTGGCTTCCAGCGGATACATAATAATAATGATATATTCTCATTTTGTACATGAGGGACGCCAGTTTACAGGCGTCATCAATAGGATAAATTACATATATGATTAGCAATAATACTTAATAATAATGATTTAATAAAATAAATATTTTTCCTACCTGTGTAGGACACACCAATTGTACAGGCATGGATAAGTATTATTAAAATTTCATAAATTTGGTTTATGGTTAAATTACATGGTTGCTGACGTTTTAATCTTTCGTTTGTGAGAACAATATGATAACTAGTCATTCGATGGAGCACATCAAGAAATAAAGGAATATTGTCTTCGCATTAACAAAAAAAACCCAAAGATGTTTCGGATGGATTACAAATACAAAAAATAAAGCTTGAAGTAATTCCTCAACATAACTTAGGTGTGTACAAAACCGAATCTTATTCTTGATTTAAATCTAAATTTGGTAATAAATAAAATAAGTGATACACTTGTATAGTTTTGTCAGCATTTTCATCGTAACAACATGTGTGCTTTCCTGTCCACCTGATATTGCCTGTGCTGTTTGGATTCTAGAATGTGGCAATGCAGGCGCGGCATCTGAACAGGCGAGACCTACACGAGTCTCTAGGATCGGTATGCAACATGGGGTTGGTGTACCTGGGTTATTACCTCCTCTGGCTAAAGCCCTGGTGACAAGAGAATATGGTGTTTTAGTGGTTTTTCTAAGGCTACTTTCAACAAACATTAACAATCACTACAATTTATGGCATATAAGAATAAGAGAGCAACAGCATCGACCCAACAGAAGAAATAAGACTGATAAGGAAAAGGTTTTTGACTTAACCTAGTACTTTTTGGTTAATGTGCTTCACAGCAATCACTTGGTAGACCAACAAGTCTTGTCTGTTTTATCGAGTGGGGAAGATGCTGCTACAGATATAGCACATGAAGCTTTGACTGTAGTTCAAAGCAGATGGGCTCTCCATACAGTGATTTGAAATGGAAGCAATGGTTGAAATGAATTCACCGGGTAGGAAGATCAGGTTCCCCAAGCGGACAATTCACAAAATAGGTATTTTCCAGGTGCCCCTGTTCGACGGGTCATTACCGCAGCTCACGCAGTGAAAATTAGTACCAGTATAAAGCACTTGTTTAGAAGTGCATCTTCACGGGTAGGAATAACGTAGATAAATTAAGATAAAGAGCTGTGGCTAAAAGACTCAAAACCCGTTGGGTAAACACACCTCTTGTTTGTTTGCAATAAGTTATAGTTTGAGTTCTCTTATTGTGTTGATCAGACATACTCGTTTCTTGCATAATTTCTGAACTTGACGATGCGATTTACCTAAGCACTGTTTAATTTTTTAATCTGTAGAAAACACTTACCAACTCACGAAAATAAATGTCACTAGTGTGGTTTAATACATCAACTATGAAGTTATTGTCTTCGTAAATATATTAAAGTATATGATACGAGACGCAGGCTTCTTTATTTTAAAATGAGCCTGAAACAAATTTTCAGTTATCATATATAATATATAACCTAACGAATGGCTGCTAATAGATGTAAACATTAGTCGCCTCATTAAGAGGCAGTTTTCTGACTTATTTGTGGCTGGAAACTAACCAATTATCGAAGTCATTCCGTACACATCAACCGTCAAATGTTAGTATTATGTCAACCTGACCACCAAGCTCTACTGCTTGCCGCAGTCAGGTTCAAGGCACCTGTCAACGTAGTTGAAAATTGAACGATCAATTCATGGTTGTATGCTCAAACCCAGATCTATATTTTGGCGGGAGTCATCGATTCCGCAGTCATCGTTCCATCGCTAGCTGTTCGTTGGAAGAAAGAGAAAAACTATCAGAAGTATTATTGTGATTTATTCTTATGACATTTGTTCTTAGATTTTGTGTACAATAACCTAATGGCTGGCTCCGGACTGGCGCAAGAGTAAGGGGTTCTTGGGTCACCGATTTGTGTTCTGGTTTTTTGCGTTGGTTATTGAGCATTGTCAATCACGTCTCATAAACCGTTAATGCCCAGCTCTTGCTACGCTCGGGCCCACGCTGTTCCTTTGAGTTTTCAGAAACGCTTAGTTATAACGGACGAAAAAACCAAAACACCGATCTGCCGTTTGTTATTTGTTTATTGTTACACCAACATATAAAAGGAATAAGCGAACTAAGGTCTGAAAACAAATATTACAATAATAAATCATTGTATTACTTCTGACGATGTTTCACTCTTCTTTCTGAACAGCGACCGATGAGACGATGACTGTCGTATTGATGCCTCCGCGAAAATTGGGGAAGTTGGTTTGAGGAAACAACCAAGAATTGATCGTTCAATCTTCAACTCCATTGACACTCCCCGGCAAAAAAGGGATCCAACCGCTTTTTTCCTTCACGACCAATACACGCTGACTTGGATACCATTGCGAGAACCTGGGTCACACGGACAGAGCTGAAATGGAAAACAAACAGAAAAGCCAACACACCACAAGCATACCCACAGCACAATCTCACACATCGCTGACGACCTGCGCCTCCAGACAGAGACCTCCTCTTGACATCTTGCAACACAATCGCCACTTACTAGAATGACTCTTGCAGAATGCAACGTGACCATAGCACCAACTCATGATACTCTACGCACATCCTTTTATCTACTCATTACCAATTACCACTGAAATCGCTTGTCACTCATTCTGCCTCAGTTCTAGTAACGGTGACGCATGCGAGCCTCAGTCGTTTACACTCTTTCTCCCCGGCGTGTCGGACCGCAGCTAACAATTATCTCCGTGTGCATTTCATTCTCAGCAATAGCCTAGCCTCCCCGGCGTATACGACCCATCTGCTGTCCTTAACATCAATCAATTCATTCATGGATGTAGAAGACTCGAAACAACTTCAGAAGTAATCACGACGAAAATTTTAACAAAATTACGCAATAACAACAAGACACGAAAACAACAAGTAAACACAATGAATCCAAAATACACCAATTGCTATGACACACCACACGTATATACAAATAGTACAAGCAACCTCGCCGATCATGTCTTGGTGGAATTCCTTTGAAGAATTGCAGGACTTACAGCAGTACGCCTACAACCCTTCTCAGGTTGACGCCCTAGGTTGGAAAATCGTCGCAGAGTTCATTTGCTGACTTCCTTCTATGAGCTAAATCCTCAAATCTGAACGGTAACACGCCCATGTCATTGTATCGTAGAATATAGATGACGAACAAACACACGACATATCTCATCAACCAAGTGTAGAAACAGAGTAATTTACACCAAAGATAATAACATTCAAATAGTAACTTGAAACTAGAAATGCCTTTATTCATGCAAGTCAATTTAACAATTACTCTCTCGTTTACACTTGGCTTATCCTCACTAAACTGACCAATATCTTTCGTCTTTTCAAACGCATCAATACTATCATAGTCATTGCAAAAGATACTTGAGTTGATGGGCATCTGTTTCATTGTGGATGAAAACACCAACGATGACTGAGTGACACAAGGTGATGAACTTAGTGGTGGATCAGAAGCTGTTCTTTTTCGGCTTTCAGATAGTTGTCCAACTGCAAGATTACCACCACTGCTGTCTTTCACTACTAGTTCGGGTTTAGCACTATCATCTGATGATAGGTGGGCTACACGCTGATCAATTACACTGACTGTCTCACAAGTATGCACACCTTCTGGAACTGCATCTGCGTTCAATTCTACTTCACGTTGTAGTTGTACAGAACCTTTATTTAACTTAGCAGTAGTAGGCATATCCCTCATCTCATCATGATCAACCAAAGACAAATCTGCACTATCATGATCATTACCACAAATATTCAATTTACCGTCAAGTTCATCATTTTCAAACTCTTTAATAACAGAAGTAGACAATTTTGGTTCCTCCTCAAAAATCATTAAAGGTTTTATATCTTCACTCTGACTAGTTATACCTTGTAAACTTTTGGAGTCAGAACTGCACTCTGAAGCAGTAACTCTATTCTGTGACACTCTATTCAACAATGGCTTACCAGTTGCAACTACAGACTTCTTCACCGCACCGTTATCGTCACACAATTCGGAGTCAGGCCTGGAGTTTACATTTAGCTTATCACTGAACTTGCTCACTGGTTCACAGTTCACCTTTGTATGCACCTCTTGCAAACGTGTACAACACAACCGTGTTTGTCTTGCATCTTGCAACTTATCTGTTGAGGATGTACTACGAAACCTGTTACACTCACTAGATCTATATGCATTACTAGACATCATGGAGCCTTCTCGATATCCACCTCTCTGAGGCCTACTCGTCATCAATGATTGCATTTTACCCTCAGACTGCTCTATTCTAGGGGTGAGATGTAATAGACTGGCGAACTTGCTCATAGATTGATTGACACTATCTTTTACCAGTTTCAGGATATCATCAAACTTTGGCTCGATACCCTCATCCTCCATACGGGAGCTTATCTTCACCCACTTCCTTTGCAGTCGAGTAGGTAGACGTCTTGCTATTACTTCTAGTATAAAACTCGAGTTGAGGTCACTCATGCGATTCATCGAAATCATTCCATTCTTGTAAATTAGCAAATTATCTAAAAACTCAGTGAGTGCCTGGGAGTCATCCTGTAATTGACCACCATTACCCTTAACAGCCTCGAATAATTTCCCTGCAATCATCGAAGGTCTTCCAAACCTTTGACGTAATATGCTCATAGCCTCATTGTAGCCCTCTTTTGGCTTCATAAACTTACAGCACTGTATAGCTCTTGCAGCATCTCCAGTGCAATATCTCATCAAATACATTAACTTCAATTCATCATTTAATAAAAAACCACTCAACATGATCTCAAACTCCTTTACAAATTGTAAATAATCGACCGGGTTTCCATCAAAACACCGTGGTTCAAATTTAGGGAGTTTGATGTTCCTATTATCCCTGAACGGCGAAACAGTAACATCAACCATGTCATGCTTAACATCAGACACATCGTTACAATTAACAGACAAGTCACCATGACTTACTTTCCTGTTTGCATCCAAGACACTCTGTCCCTTCTTTGACCCAGGCATTGTTGAACTTGACCCAATTCCAAAAACGTTCCAGATATTGCTTGTTCAAAGAGGACTTGACCGGCACCAGGAAAAATGAACGGCGACTATCCAAACTTTCACCAACTGTTTGAATCCGCCAGATCTGTTTCTATCGTCAGAAACTGTCAATCACGTCTCATAAACCGTTAATGCCCAGCTCTCGCTACGCTCGGGCCCACGCTGTTCCTTTGAGTTTTCAGAAACGCTTAGTTATAACGGACGAAAAAACCAAAACACCGATCTGCCGTTTGATATTTGTTTATTGTTACACCAACATATAAAAGGAATAAGCGAACTAAGGTCTGAAAACAAATATTACAATAATAAATCATTGTATTACTTCTGACGATGTTTCACTCTTCTTTCTGAACAGCGACCGATGAGACGATGACTGTCGTATTGATGCCTCCGCGAAAATTGGGGAAGTTGAGTTTGAGCAAACAACCAAGAATTGATCGTTCAATCTTCAACTCCAGTGACAAGCATAGTTCCTGAAATTCTTCCAGGAGCAGTGTGAAGTCCAGTGTAGTTAGACCTGGATATTGACAGCACGTTATTCTGTACCTTATTTTGCTATTTTAATAGTGAAGCTCTCTCACTGCGTCACTACATAGATGATTTTTGAAGGCCGTTCTAGGTTCCATATGTTCGGCCTAGAAAGACTTATGCCTACACTAATATATCCGATTCAATGTAAAGTGGAGATTGACTTCGCTAAGAAGGCGGATCTCCACTTTTTCGTATTTCATGAAATAAATGAACTTATAGAGGTAAGAAAGTTGACAAAGTTTTTGTAAGTTTCTGGTGATTATTTAGTGGCAAACACTCCTCATGAAATTAATTGCGAAGCAACAGATCTATACCGCGTATCAAGCGATAAGACTATTTGGAAAAGTTGAGTAAACAGTAGAAACCGTATATATAACACAGGTACTTGTTTCTCTCTCCCCCCCCCCCCAGTGTTCTCTAACGCCTGACAACTCGATGATGCATATTATACAGAAGCGGACTGGTTCTCACAACTGGTCGGTTCTAGAAGAGGAAATGGGTTGGGCTCATTTGGACCAAAATGATCACAATATGATAACCATTAAATTGATGTCTCCTGAAAATTATTAATATAGTGAGAATAAGTCTGATCTGCGGAGGGATGGAAGCCCTAAGATGACCTTTTTTGTCCACACACCGAAGTCCTTCTGACTTGTCTCATTCGTTTTCCCAACCTGGGACGGCTGGTTTGATTCCGCGTCTTAAATGAGCTTTGAGGACAATCTTATATAGTCAGTCTCAATAAGGGCTAATACATTATAATCATTCAGTGAGTAGTTTTACTTGCGACTTGCTAAATATTGCTGTTACTCATATTGGTTTCCGAAGCCCATTACTAACATCATCCATCCGACAAATCTAGCCCTTTTCGAAAAGCCAGTTCATTATAATCGGTATTCAGGCCTTGTCATGGCTAAATATTACCGTATGCCATCAGACAAAATGAATTCGTTATCCTTGGAATCTTGGTTACATACAATGGGAAGAGAAGAGGACCTTGGCCTGAATAATGAGATGTTCCCTCTGTAAGACAAAACATTAACCCTTATTCCCTGTCTTCAAAGCTCCAGGAAGTGCCGAATGCCGTCTCTTGCCTATGATCTGACTCGCAGGTTACCCTTACTTTTATCGAAGATCAGGGTAATAAGCCTTTATTTCTTGGCACGCCTGATGGAACACTAGAATAGGTTCACCAAAGCTATTTCCCCTCAGTGGATATTGCTGGTCTATATGCAGTCTGTCACTATCTCTTTAACAATATCATAAGGTATGCTGAAGAGATGGCAGTCAGTAAGTAATATTCTAGATCCTCATTTGGAAGCTGGAATGATGAAATTAATCCTAGGGTCTCTTAAGGAAAGGCTCACTAAATGATATTGTAAAGACTACCGACAGAATTTTGGCTGTGGCTTCCTCAAAGGCTGATAACTTGAACTAGTGGAGCTTACCAGGTCAACTTTACATCAGAGGATTAAGCTTCCCTCGTGTGCACCATTAATTTACACCAGCTACTAAGCCGGCACTAGTTTATTCACATAATAGCCGACCGAGCTGGTGGGTCGTTCCTGACAATTCGGTTAAGATAGCCTGATACCTATGGGTTTCTGGACCAGAGACACTGGGAACACTTTAGGCAGATGCAACATAATCGTACTTTCTGAATCCTTTTTAACAACAGCTTATATTTAGCAGCACAAAGTGGCAGGGAAAAGGTCATGCAAGGTAGCGAATATGTGTACCTGGAAACTGGTAGGCAGCACTAGTTAATCATCGAATTTCAGTCAGCATTCAAAAATTAGTAGTTGTCTAAATAAATAAAGTGCTCTGTATGGATAAACTAATCGCACAATTTTCATTCTTAATTAGAAATTTAGACATTAGTTTAACGAATTTCTTTTAAACATTCGTGTTTAAATGATGCTATGGTAACTATTTAAGGGCGTGCAGCCCCGCTATAGTCAAACAGCCGAACGACTAATTGGAGTGACATAATGCCTATGTACAGATTTGAAGGTGACGTAACGATCCATTGCGTATGTCTATACTTTATCACTTATTTTGAAAAATGTTTAGGTTTACTCTCCAAGAACATGGCTTATGAATCGAGATCAATTGTGTCTAACTGTTGAAGCATTTGGAGTTGTAAAACGGACGAGATTACATGATGCAATTTTTCCGCTACTTATACATGAAAAGTTTTCTTTCGACAAGGTTTGTAGTTCATTTGAACTAAATACTTAATTAGATATTCTATACGGCTCTTTCTGCCTGCAACGTCGTTGACAGACTAGAAGGTATGTATATACATAATTATAGTACTTTAATGTGCAACAGATTTCACGGTGACAATTGAAATACGACAGATAGTTGACGCTTATCTGGGGGGAACGCTTTTAGCGTACTATTCAACGAACGCTAAAGAGTTTTTCTCTCCCTGCCCAAAAATGTGCTTAAGAACTCTTCCAAAGAGAGATTTGATCATGCATAAAACTGTTGATTTTCCGGTAATCTACTTAATTGTGTTAACTTTTTATAGGGAATGTCTCCGCGCCTCGAATATTCTGTTAGTTCTGCAATTAAGTGTCATCCTGCTTCATGCTGTTGTTCCTGCTGCGTAGGTTCCATTTTGTCACTATACAGCCTCTTTTAGCATTATTTGCCACAGTGCTCTTGTTATGACCCGTAAGTTAACGCTCATAAATAATGATTTTTATTTGAATAATTTTTAAAAAACACTCAAAACTGTTTTCAAAAACATCTAAGTTCTGTGCATTTTTGCTGTTCATAGACATACTGTGGGTAAGTTTTGATTATCAGATAAGTTTCAACTTCATCTCAGAAGATTTGTTGCAAATATGTTACCTAATTGTCATATATCATTAGTCTTCCATATATCTACCATGGTTGTTTTTCAGACTGTATTATAATCGGTATACTAGGATTAAACTTAAGTAGTTAAGTCCATATATCGTTTTCAGGAATCATATTTTTCAGTCATTAACAGCTTATTTGGAATTAGTATTTGTTTTGGTAGTCTTATTTACAGCATTCTGACACTGATTACGTAGAAACCCGATACAATGTCTTCTGTTTGTCAACTTGCGTCACTGAATGTAAATTAAGTTTTAAATTCTGTTTAACTATAACCCAACCTGTTTTATGCTAACCAGGATACAATTGAATCCTTAATGCTATGAACCTAAGTGATGCATGTTCTATGAAAAAATCTTACACAGTCCAACTTAAATTTGAGTGATGAAATTCATTTTACACTTAGTCAAGTACTTCTTATATGCACTAGGAACGCCTTACTTTTGATTAAGTTAAATTAAAGTGCTTTTTCATAAAATCTTCATGTAGTATTCGAAACTCATTGCTATATAAACTTTATGACTCCGCAAATAGTACCCTTTTTTATAAGAAATCAAACTGCAGTATTAGTGTTGTTTAACTTAGTTCTTATGCTTTGCCAGGAGATTTAGTTTCTTACTCCTTGAAGTATGAAAGCACAAATTTATTGTAGTTTCAAATATTAAACAGTGGTATGTAATTATTTTTACTGAAAAAGTTTTCGAAATGTTTAGCATGTGCTAGTGATCTGTCAGATGTCCAGTGCCGATATCTTACAATAAAAGATACTGAGCATTAAAATGCATATCATGTTTGAGATGATCAGCTTCTTGCACACAAACAGCTAAGGATATCGTGAGAGTTTGGTTTTACAATACGTGGTAACTACGTGAAAACGCTCGAGCTATCTTGCCTCTCTTCTTAGATTACACTAACTTTATTTTAACAAATGTCATATGTGACCTATGATCCAACAATTTCACACCTTTTCAGGTTAAGAAAACTGGAGAGCAGTAGACGATTTTTCCTCATTTATTGGTTTAGCATTTCAGATTAATTAATAACTAACCGCCCCTTAAATTATAATTTTAGGTGTCTCTACAAGCCACTCACACCAACACCAGGCTACCACCGGGCGACAGTCAACAGTGCTTTACGATGTCGTTATCCAGAACTTAACGAACCAAGGTACCTTATAGCATCTGATACTGCCAGTCATATTGCTAAATCTCAAAGTGCAACAAGAACTTCAAGAAGCCCTAGAAAAGTAAGGCTTCTAATAATTATTGGCTTTTTGTGATATTTGAAATATTATTTTTTATTTTTTATTTACAGCTTGATCCCACACTGTATTTTTGGCACAAGTATGGAATTTTCAGCATGGATATTGGTAGCCCAAACTTTGCAGGCCGACCATGTCAGGTGTGCATCGGCAGGAGATCGAACCTCGGACCATGTGCATGGTCGGCGAGAGTCCTAACCACTGTGCCACCGACGCTAAAAAATAAAACCACCCGTTTTTAACTGGTTACGTCGAGTTTTCTTTATTATTAATTTACATTTGTTCTGAAGACAACTTCGTATAAATAAATTTTGGGTTTATTTTCTCATTTTGGTCTGCTCATAAATATTTTAGTAAGAGAAATATCTCTTATATCAATTTTTAGAATAAATTCTAACACAAACTGCTTACAACTTTTCTACCACTTTTATTAAGAGGGACAATGTAGACTCAACGTACAGTCGACCAAGGTCACTGTCTGCTCGTAGATGTGATGGTAAGTATCCTTGTTGATGATTTATTTTCAATCACGTTTGATAATTACATCTATTTTGGTTTGCTAAATTAACGTGGTATTGTCATGGTTTCTCATTAAAGCTCTTCAAATTACGTATTCTTTGAAGAAATTAAGAATACCGTTCTTCTTTCTTGAAAATAATTTCTCATACTGCAGAAACTTATTGTGTTCGCCTCTAAGAATGTATTGAAACTAGTGGATGATTTTTGATCTATGGCAGCTTTTTAGTTTCTTCTCATCGATGTTGTGCTGATTATGATAGAAGGTAGACAAAGAATGTAATTTATATGTTGTATGGAAATCTAATCTTTTCAAATCTCACTATGGATAACTGAAGTGACAAGTATTGGAAATTCTAATAAAGATATTTAGTTCATGATGGCATTGATAGTTTCATTACAGAATCTTAAATAAAGGCTTTTATTCATTGAGGATGCCTTTATATAATATCATTACTAGTATGAAAATGTTATCCACTTAGTGTCCGGTTATTTATGCTGGCACTGTCTTACTTAAAATTAATTCTGATGAAGGATCTAACGCAAATGTTTATTTGAAATCTGTGAGGTCTTTTCCGTATTCACGCCATACATCTGGCTAGTTTAGTCCTTGAAATTTAGCTTAAATTACATATATCACTGTCTAACCACGCTGTGGCCAATTCAGTACGCAAAATTAAGCAATGTTTTTTCTTAATATATATGTCGTCATATGTAAACGTGTTGGCTTAGTCTTATGAAATATTTTCATATGTATTCTGAATCTATGTGTATTTAGGACGTCAGTAGAATGGGGATTTTTTTTACTTCATTCTAGTTTATTCTTCAGCTTTACAAACTAATGAAACAATGTTGTATATAACAAGATTTGTTATGCATTATTTTTAGAGAACTTTTATACCTACAGTACAAATTCAAACTACCACAAGACTGAAATCCCAATCATATACTGATAGGCTATTTTAGTTTCTAAACCCACATAGTAGAGATTCAAGAAAAAGAGTGTCAAGAAAACATCTCCTGTTCTACCGAACGGTAGCTTTATTCATTTAATTTGGTGTTGGGAAAGTTTAAGCCACATCAATTTCAGTTAAAACGTATCCTTTAGAAAGTTTTTGTGCAGTAGACTATTGTAAAATTATAATCATTTCGTTAATTGACTAGTTCTCATTAATAATTTTAATAAACGCAACTTATTCTCACTTTGTTCATCTGTTTACTTGAATCAGGTTATGGAGCAGTTTCAGTAAGTTATTCCCTACCAGCATATCGCTGTGCATTTTGGTTGCATATAATTTTGTCAAACTTGCTGTTTTGTTTACTGTAGTGTAAGAGCGTAAGTATTGTTGCTGTCTGGAATCTTACAGAATCAAATAGCATACTTCAAGTCATACCCTTGCCTTATCGATGAGCAGTGAATCAAATATTCGAATTCGCCTACAGCTTTTATCAGTTAAAAATACCTTAGACATTTTTGGAAATATTACAGATTTTGGAGATACACTCTGCCAGCTAGTTTTATTAGGAGTTATCACCAACCATAACAGTGCATATAAGACGCAACAAAGTAATATATATCGAACAAGTGTATTCTATGGAATTATGTGACTTTTATTGTTTCTGCAATTAAATTAAAATATTTTAGCAAGTTGTTATTCTTACTTATTTGTTTAAAGTTAATGAAAGATTATTCAGTTACTAAAGTAAAGCTTTAGATATATTTCCTAGAAAGTATGAATAATAAGATTTTCTCGAAGTTTCTTACAAGCGTTGCAAAAATATATACTGTGTGAATACTATGAAGTAGACATTTCCAAACTTTATTGAAATTGCTTAAAATTCAGTTTGTTTTATTTATGAAGTCATTCAATTCATTTTATTATGTTCAATAAAAGCAAAATCAAACCATGATAGTCACTAATAAATTCCGAATGCTTTTGTTTCGAAAAATATTATTTCAGCCTCTCCACTCTTTATCCACATGGGATCTGCGTGAGCGTACTATTCGTGATGCACAAGATCGCAGGTAAGTGTGCGTACTGCATAGATAAATGTGTTTGAAGTTTCTTTTTCACTAAAAATTATTACTTGAAAAGGAGACACTACAGTGTTTGATTTTGAATCATTCATCTATTATTTTCGACAGTAGATGGAAAATACGTTTCTCAAACTAGCCTCTTTTCAAGCAGATTTCAAACTGACTAAGCTGTTAGTCAGTCAGTTAGTCACTTTTATTGATTCTTCATAATATTACCCATCATTGTCAACCAATTGAAGGTTGTCATCCAGTTACTTACTTCAAATTTGTGTTCATAATGATTAATTATATTGGCGCACATAAACTCCCGCAGAGTGGCTATCGAACAAAAATTGCTAGCTGATGAAAAGGAAGTGGTTATGCAGACTCCTACTGTTCTTTTACATTTATGCTTAATTACATTTTCATATTTTTTTCTCCACTACTACTAGTGACCGTTACTGGCATCTGTACAGATTTTGGCAAAATGAATACGATAGACTACGCTTACAAAGATGAAGCTGTGAAGATTTTGTCATCAAGAAATACTGCCGTATCAGATTTTTCATATTAGATCTATTTAACCTTCACAGGAATATATATTTCTTTAGAATTAAATGAAAAACTGTTTAAAAGAAAAACAGATAGATTTACAAAATGACTACTATATTCTACGTATGTATGCACTGTTCGCATTACTTAGTCTAACTTTTTGTGTTAGGAATTATCGTTCTACATATATATATATATATATATATATATATATATATATATATATATATATATATATATATATATATATATATATATATATATATATATATATATATATATATATATATATAACCAATATTTAGTAAACCAAGTTGCCGTACAAGATATAGTGACTAATAATATTCGTGACTAACTCCATTTTTAAGCACATTCTCCCTGTTTTTACACACACAAACACAAAATACATTAATGTCTCACCTGAAACGACAACATAGAATTATACGAATCCTTTGTACTAAAAAAGATTGTAATTTTTAACACTTTATCATAATTTTTTTGATTTCTGAAAATCTCCGTACACCTCTCTTACACACTTGTGCCTTAATCAAGATAAAGAAAAGAAAAAGTTAAAGTGATTCGGAATCTACTAGTGAAATGCTTTTTCACGCAACAAAATGGAGAAGATTAATTATAAAGATTTGAGACGTTTCTTTTTTTACAGAAGAAAATATTATGAAGTAGAATGAAAATAAATGAACATATATATATTCAGATTTTGAATAACTTTCTCTTACAAAAATTGTACGGATCTATTTTTTATTTCACAATAATGTGAACTATTACTTACTGTGATATTTTAGTAATATGTTAACGATTAGGAATGTATGCTGGTATAGATTCTACACATTTATTGTGTGCATTAGTAATTGTTTTATATCTACAAAAACACAGTATGATAATAAAATATACACTATTTTCGTAAATTTATATAAAGTTGTTCTACCTCGTGTTTAATCTTCGTATATATCAGAGATAATGAATGGGAGCGTACACTGGGTTCAGAGACTTTAGTATTGTAAGCAAATCTTGGAAGTACTGTTGTCTGGATTTGATTTGTCTTCTGGGAAAACACACTTACAAAAGTGAGACAGGATGCCCAATAATTCATGTAAAACGCGAAGGATTTTCGTTAGAGGCTTAGTAATGAAAGTGAGTAACTAGAAATTTTTAATCTTTTCTGCAGCTGTATGTATATATGTAGTTTTTCAGTCACAGCATCAGAAGCAATTGAGACTTTAGAAAGAGTGACACAGAAAATTAACAAAAAATCACTCGATAATAGTTTTGTTTAAATTTTTTATGTGAAAAGAGTAGGACGAAACCATATTTATATAGTAAGTACAGCTCAATAGTGTCAGCAAAATGGTCTTTCTTTGTGAATTCATTACACTAAGACTAGTTTTTTAGTTAAAAATATCTCCCCAAAAACTATATTTACAGGGTGTTATCTTTTGTTATGGTAACTAAATTGTAATCAATAAGTCTAATACTAACTCTATTGATTGTTTCTATTGAAAGGCCATTTAATTTGATAATCTCTAGTCTATGTGGAAAGGTATGAAATGTCAATTCCTAGTGTTTTTCAATAATTTATGCACGTAAAGGGGTTATGCAAGCTGAAACGTTGAGGAGACTTTGGCGTTAGTATAATCAATTAATTATTACTGTTTAGGGTTGTATATTTTGAAGTATTCTGTTAAAGAGAGGTTTTTCAAATTAGATACATTTTTTGCTAGCTCAAACTTATGAATGAATGTCAGTCAGTTCAGGTTCAATTCGTGTATTGTAGATTAAGACAACTGAACTTCATGCAACATATCTGGATAGTAGGTGGATATTTAGATGTGTTTGTTCATCGTCACCCTTACGGTGTGGAAATATCAGTCACTAGATTACTTCATATTGTCAGTCTGTTCTGACATGGAATTCGTCAGAAAAAACGTCTGAATTGTCAGTTGAGATAGGTATTTAATTTGCAGAAAAGTCTAGTTATTTGTGTAGAATTTTTCACAAAATGTTGTTATGAATAAGTTCACTTCATCTGGAAGCAAAGATTTAAAATTAATTAATAAAACTGCATCTTCACTCAACTAGGATAGACATCTTACTCATTATGTTTAAAATAATGGACATAATTGAAATGCTACAACACAGCAAAGTTGAATATAGAATTATGAGTTTTCATAAAGTAAAAAAGCGTATTTTCTGCCAAGAGAATGTTTACTAGAGAGCGAGGGAGCTAGATGTTCTATTTGAAAACGCTTGTAGAAAAATAACACAAATATCCAGATCAGTTGGCGAGTAGGAAAAAATGTAACCGTATGCAATCTACGGTAAACCTGCATGCTTCATAAGTCTTAGAAATGGAAACCATTGTTGACGCTGATGTCTTTCCCATAAACGTCAGTAAATGAGTTGTCGATTCATGACTTCTAGATTGTAATCAGTGTTATCTACTAGGCAGTGTTGATAAGATATTTTAGACATGTTTTCAGTGTAATGTTTTCGTACCAGTCGATTTCCATTTGTCGTTTTGTTAATCCCTACGTGTATGTCTGAGTAATATTCTTACTAACTACCTTGGTGACAGACACGGGTTCAAGTCTTTCAAAGTGCAAAGTGATTTTCCAATTTCCGGACAAACATGACAGACGAATGATAACATGTATAAAGTCTATTCAGGATGTGATTTCTGACAGTTACCTCCAGCTGATATCCGGCCCAAACCCGATTACATAGGTCTCACTGACACATTTATGTATTAAATTTCAAAGGACAATGGTTTTTCCACCAATGAAACACATATATTTCTTCGACAGAAGGCAAGAACGACTATAATTACAAGGGATCACACAATTATGAGAAGAATGGTGTAATGTTCACAATTCTTTTCAATTGTGTGTGTAGGTGAATTTAGAAGAAAAAAGGTTTTTACACTAATATCCAAAGTGAGAGAGAGAAAAGAATACAGTGTGTGATTTTCGTAGAATTACTAAGATATTAGTCAGTAATTTTTACTATAGTTAAAAATGCTTTGATGCATTCACTATTCAATAGTTTATTTTGCCCCTTGGTGCACACCCAGTAAATGTGTGCCATCTTTCCGTTAGTCTTATTTATTTCTTGTGAGGGGAACAATATACACTGAAATATTTCTTAAATAAAAGATTAAAATTTGATGCACTTCCTTAAATTACCCTGTGGATGAATTAGTTGATCATTAATAACATTTAAAGCATTTCATCTAATAAATCCGTTTAATATTTACTCAGACTCTATCATAAGAGCACGAGTACAAAGAGGTAGCATCTACTGAGGCAATAAATTGACCAGATATGTTTGTCTTTTGACAAGATTGCGATATAGGTAGATCTCGTTTATCTGTTCCTCAACATTTCTCAGATAGACAAGGAATGCTGTTCTGTGTTCATTTGAGTTTCAAGAAGTTTAAATCTTGGCAATATCATAAATAGCATTGATTCGGTTGCTTCTATATACCTTGCAGTGTCCGTCTTTACAGTAAAAAGTCTAATTGTTAAAAAGGAACCTGAATGATGAAAACCAGACTTGTGTGCAATGGGAGAAACTGAATTTGATTTTCAACCAAAACATTTTCAATCACGAATTTGTATAGCTACTGAGTATTCAGTCTCCAACCGTAATCTCTTAGTATGTTCCAAAAATAAGTGAAACCACATTAGAGTGAGCATTACTGCTATATTTAAGTCAGCTGCTACTCAGTGTCATAAGAACAGTGCATTATAAACTTATTCAAAAATGATGGCGGTTTTCACGCAGCTTTCTAAATGACTATACAAACATTCATTAAACCTTTTGTATATTGCTAAATGATTAAAATGAGCTTGGGAAAATTGGGAATTAGAAGTATATTAGACCCACAAAATAAAGTGTGTTAACCGAATATTCACCGCCATGTGTCATTTCTCAAGACAAACTAATGTGCCATTTTAAGAAGTTTATGTCATCAGACGTGTTGATTTCTCAAAAAGTATTTTTCTTAAAAGTATCAGAAAAATACTTAGGAGACGCAATGACGAAATAATCAGATGCTTCTTTGCTGTTTGTCAGACAGACAATGATAACACTCATTTTACTGTGGGCCAGATTTTCTCTTACCTTACTAATTTCTTAGCATATTTACTGCGAAATCTCCTTACATGACACTTTCAAATATATTCTCAATCATAAGAAATCATGGTAAGACTATAAGTATTAGAATCACTGGTACTTTAAGTATGCCAAAGTTGATCTTAGAGATACATCCAGTCTCTGTTCCAGACAGTATTGATACTTAGTCACTGATGTTATCCAATGCCATATTTTTACATCAAACACTCGGTGAAAATTAATGGTTGGGGTAACGTTTTAGGTGAGTCGTAAGTGTGCCGTCTAAAAATTAGGGTTTATGATAACCACCCTCAGAGACATATTACTACGCTACATTTTGATAAAAAGGAAGAACTGGAAAACAAGGAAAATGGTAGTGTCTTATCATAGCCGAGGTGAAAATAAGCTTTGATTCCATCTACAAAACTGATCCGATTTCCGAATCATTTTCCATTTAAAATGTCTGTCAGCCTTTAATTAAGTTAAATAACCAGATAACCTGGAGTTTCTAGTGAAAAATAATTTGCTCTAATTCGATTCTCCCAAATATCCAAGTTTAAGCTCACAGAGTTTCTATTAAATATCCCAAAATCTCAAATGATCAAACGTCGTTTTACTTAACGGTTTACATCACCTTTCGTATCTCTTTAAATGGTTTAAGAAAGACAAATGTTGTTCTCGGATTTTCCACCCCACGGTACTTTTGTCTGTCGAAACTAGTAGGTTGACACTGATACCTGGTTTTCTGAGTGTACGTAAGAAACCATAGTCTAAATGGTTCTCAAAAACTTTCAAACTGCACTACACTTCGTAATACGAAATCATGAAGAAAACACGCAATCAGCCGAACTTCTTCAAGCCTTTAACGATAATGTACTAACATTTCGAATGACTGAAAGTGATGTTTCAAGTATGCTTGTTTTGGTGTACAGTAATGTAGAATATTAATTTTTTTGAATGATGTGGATATTACGGATGGTTTCTTCACAAACCTTTCTGTGCCATTTTATGCAAAATAATTAGTAGTGGGAATTTCCGCACAAATAGTTTGGTCTATTGTAATGATGAACCA